CGACACTGGACATCATGGGCCAAATTTCCTTTAAGCTCCTCCCACCCAACATGTAGGAGCCAAACTATTTCACTCCAAAGTTGCATCTCTGTCTCTCAGCTCAGAACAGAAACTCCATGTCATTGAAGCACCTGTCCCCCACATTTGCATCTAAACCACACCGAGTCCACTCAGCACCAAATCCCAACAGCTGACCCTGTGGGCTTTGTCCTGAGACAAGGCAGTGATGCTCATGATCTGTGTCCCTTAATCTCACCCTAGTGTTTATCTCCTCACTGTAGCCCCTCCACAACCCAGTGAAGTTTCTTAACCACCCAGGCTGCTAGGCGTGGTGGGGCACACCTTTGATCCCACTGCTTGGGTGGCAGACGCAGGCAGATCTCTGTGAGTTCAAGGCCAGCCCACTGAACACATACAAGTACAGGCCAGCCTTGGCTACAAATTGCTAGTCTGCTGGAAAACAAAGCACGACAACAACAAAAACAAAACCAACTCAGACCCTGGGATTCTCTTCCCAGTCTCTTTCCTGAGTCACCACTCATCCAATAAGGGAGAAGGTCAGCGAGGCAGGAGGGAAAACTGGGGCAGGAATGTCAAGAAGAGACCAGAGGTCAATACAAGGGAAAGACAGACAGACAAGGTACTGGGGGGGGGGCATCGCCCTTCTCTCATTCTGCCTCCCTCCTCTTCCTCTCTCTCTTAAAGTTGAAATCAAACATACAGGAAAATCTCCAACACGGTTTTAGATCTTTAGAAAAAAAAGTCACAGAGAATTCCAGGCCAGCCTGGTCTACAGAATGAGTTCCAGGACTGGCTTCATAGCGGCTGGGAAACCCTGCCTCATAAAAGAAAAACAAAACAAAACAAAAAGTAACAGCTCCCATGGTCTCCTCCTGTTGCTAAATGGCTCTTGAGAGAGGCAGATTGCCAGTGCTGTAATTTAAGCACCTAGATCCAGCCGTGCCTGAAATCCCATTACCTACTCTATTTTTACTCTGCCCACCTATGTGATCCAGTACGTTCCCTGCTTTTTAAAGACTAACCCTGTTGGAGATGGGCTTCTACCACTTGCAGCCTTGGGGGTATGAAGTAACAGGTTTTTGTTTGTATTTCTGTGGAGCCTTTGCTAGGTTCTGTTCTCACCCTCATTTTGTAGAGGAAGCCCTTAGAAAAACACATGCTGGGGATGTGTATCATTTTTCTCTCTGGCTCTGTACCCCCTCCCCCATTACTTTCTTTCCTGACTCTTGTATGTGACCAAGATTAATTCTATCTAGCGTCTCTTCATTAGCATTGAGTCTTTTGCCTGCCTGGCCCCTCTCCCCCGTAAGTTCTGGGGTAGTAGTGGCCATGAGAAGAGAATTGCTTGGCTCATTCAGCCAAGCAAATGGAAAAAGGAATGTATGAAAGACCAGGAGAATGAGGGCCCAGTGTGTGATGGAAGCTTGAGTCAGGGCAGCTTCGTGGACCAGTGCAGTCATCCCCGGCAGACACTGGCCTTATCAGCCTCGGCCTAACTGAATCGGAAATCACAAGCCGGCCTCTTCTCTTGTGGCTGCACGGCTCTTATCAGCTGCATTTCTGCAGCTGCTGTGGGTGTGGTAGCCACATAGGGGACAGCTGGGTGACTGCAGACAGCCCCAGAGCCATCCCTTACACGGAGGACTGGAAACATTTTCCTTTTTTTTTGAAGATGCACACCTGTTAGCCAGCCAGAAAAAAAGGGGAGTGGGAAGGAGGTAATAATGAGAAGGATCTGCCCCCACCCGTCCTGTGCACAGCCCCACCCCTCTCCACTGGGGAGACAAGGAGTTTGACCCAACTATGGGGCTTCTTACTCCCCCTTAGGGCTTGTTTTATCTGAGTTGTCTAACCCATGCTGTTTGGGATCTATCATCTATTATCTCTCTCCCCTGCCAATGGGAACAGTGATTCCCCAGTCACAGCACCAAGGGTCCCAGTGCAGTTCATGACAGCAAAGGCACTTTAGGGGACTGTGCAAGTGTGAACACACACACACACACACACACACACACACACACACACACACACACCATTCCTCCTAGCCTGCCTCTGGCTGAGGAAACCCTTCCCTTTGGGGTTCAGGTTCTTCATCTATAACCTGAGGTATTGGAGAACATGTTTGAAGTGGTTCTTCAACATCTCAGCTCTCCAGATGATCCTGGTTCTGGCTCATTTTTCCCAGAGATGACCTCTGATCCCAGGCCATATAGGCCCCTTTTCCTCAGAGGAGCAGGGCTGCCCTGAGCCACCCCACCCTGTCCTCTACCCTTCAGAAGGCTTCGGGGGGACTGGGTCAAGCCAGCTGAGCCTGAAGCTACACTAAGGCTTCCTTCCTGGCTGCCATCCCCTCAGCTCAGGTAGCACAGACTTGACTGGGGTAAGATAAATGGAAGCTTCCCCTCTCCTACCCTCCCCCAGAATGCCCCCACCACTGCTGATGGTGGACAGAATGTCCCTTCCATCATGAGACCAGAGCTGTCTTCTTGAATTCCACCACAATCCAGCCAGCCTCAGAGACACGCACAAACTTTGCTTTGGAGCCTCGGTTAATCCACCACTCTTGGGAGGTACTGAGAGGGACACATAGCTCCGGGGTTAAGTACAGGCACTCTGGAGGCTACCATCTGGGCTTGAATGGCAGCTTCCTGTCTGTGAGACCTGTGTCTCAGTTTCCCTACCTGTAGAATGGGTATAACAGTACCAGCCTCACAGGGTAGCAGAGGCACACATGAATGAGCATGGGGTGTCCAGAACATGTGACCAGGTTAAAGTACTGATAAGTGTTGTTGAGGTGGATTTAACCTAGCTGGCATTCGCTTGAGGTCCTACTCAAGTGGCCATGTCTAAGAGACTGAGCCTTCCACTTCTGCCTTCCTAGATCTCTCAGAGGCGCACATGGGGTAGCTGTGGCCACAGGGAGCAGTCAGAGCCTCAGTGTGTCTGCAAGCAGAACCCAGAGGAAGAAGCTCTACCAATGGACAGAGCCACCTGCTTGCTGTACCTCCGCTGGGGGCAGAGGACACTTTGTCCCCAGAGAGCCAGCTTTCTGTGCTCAGACTTTATTGAAAGGGTTAGGCAAAGAGAGAGATTCAGCAACGTGGGGGAAGGAGGGAGCTGGACCCCCACCCCCACCCCATCACAAGCTCGGAAACAGGAAGTCCTCTCCCCAGGGTTCTGAGTGTCTGGCAGTCACAGGTAGGTTTCTCTGTTGCTGTGGTAAAACGCTGACCAAAACTAGCTTAGGGGGAGGAAGGGTGTATTTCACCGTAGGACTCCTAGGTCAGTCCATCACTGAGGTAAGTCACAGGAGCAACTCAAGGCAGGAACCATGGAAGAAAGCTGCTCACCGGCTTACTCTCCACGACTCACTCAGCTTCCCTTTTTATACAACACAGGAATACTTCCCAGGGGTGGCACCCCACAGTGGGCTCAGCCCTCCCACATCAATCATTAATCAAAACAGTACTGCACCGAACAAGCCTACAGGATAATCTGCAGGGGACAATTCCCCAGCTGCGCTTCCCTCCTCCCAAATGACTCTAGTTTGCATTAAATTGACCAAAACAAGCAAACAAACCAACAACAGCAAACCCCCTATGCAGTACATGGCATTTCCTGTGTGTAAAGGTGCCTGGATGGGTCACCCCCCTCACCCTGCCTTCTCTACTTTGAGCAAGCAGAGAAGCTGGGGCCATCCCTGCCCTGGAGCTCTTGGCCCTGGAGGTGGAGAGGGACAGCTGGAGAAGTAATGGGCCACTCTGTTTCTGGCCCCAGCTACCTGGGAAGAACAAAGGAGGCCCAGCCATCATTTCTGAGGTACCTTCTTTTCAGGAAGGTTTCCAGGCCCCCACTTAACTCAGCAGAGCTGACCACAGCTCTGGCTTTCAGCTGACAGTACCCCTGGGGACAGACAGATTTCCTGAACTACAGACCCAGTAGCACAATCCCCTTTTACATACTTCCTCTCAGACAACCCACAACACCCCTGAGAATAGACCTGCCACCCCTTTTAGGGGTAAGGAGTAGCTTGCAGATGCGGTGAAGTAGCTAGGGTTGTGCACAGAGCATATCTTGTTTTATCATGCAGGTCCAAAGTGCTTGAGAGACCCACGGTGAGGACCTGGATTCACCCCATAGGTTGCAACCACGCCACTCTAAGCTTGGCTTAGACCAGATGATCCCGGAGTGTTCGTGGCCAAGCAGGAAAGAACGAATGCTCTTTTAGCCTAATGAGTTCTCAACATGCATGGCATCCTGCTGATGCCATTGCAACCTCCTCAGAGCCAAAGCAACTATTCAGGGATGCTGGGACTGGAATCTTCCACTTTCTTTTACCTCCTTGTGACCCAAGTGTACATACAGGCAGTCCTCGGGTGTTCAGGGTCATCATGGACTTCTCTCCCTTACTCTCTTTCCCTAGTATCATGGATCCAGGTCCTCCATCTCTCATCGGAGACAAGAGCCTCGGGCCCATCCCAGGGATGGCAGGAAAGGGACATCAGGATACACGGGCTTATGCTTCTCAAGTGAGCGATACACAGAACTCCAACTGTAGAGATGTACAGGAGATTTTGCTCTGTGGGTGAGCATGTGCGATAAGGCTGAAATGGAGGGGTGTCAATGAAAGTTTGGCGCAAATGTATTTTCTTTAGAGTGGAAAATTACAAGTAAACAAAACAATCCCCAGGAGTCTTATTTCTGCTGCAACTGAAATAATTTTTAAAATTTACTTTTTATTTATATGTGTGTTTCTGTGTAAGTGAATGCCCCATGTGTGAATGCCTTCGGAGGCCAGGAAGGGGCATCAGCTTGGAGCTGGAATGCACACAGTTGTGAGTCACCCTATGCAGGTGCTGAGAATCTGGTCCTCTGGAAGAGATGCAAACGCTGCTGAGCCGAACCCCAAGTCCTGGATTGATAAACGTAAACCCCAAACAGTTCAGCGACATGTTCCATAACTGTAGGTCACTGAATACACAATAAATCAATTTTATTTCATAATAATATTAAATTCCATTCATTGATTCATGTCATGTTGGCCACATGGAAGAGCAGCAACACGCTCACACAGCCAAGTTAAAGTACACTGAAATACACGACTGGACACTGTTCCAGAACCTGGCGGACACACAGGTGGCTAGAACGACGGGGCGACAACATGGTGGGGGGTTCTGTCCACAGTCTCTCAAGTCACGAGCACTCTGGAGTTTCATGGGCTCCTGTGAACCCAGAGTCTTTAGTGCAAAACAGGCAGGAAGGAGGACTCTGTGCAACTTGTTAAGCTTCCAAGGTTCCTTACCTGCCTGTGCTAGCCCAAGTCCTGGTCCAGCCTGCCACTTTATCGCCCTAGCCATATTTTGTCAACTTTTTGAGCCCCCTCAGTCTGGTAGGCTTAATTTTCAGATTCTTGGCCTATTTTGTGCCAGTCCTTTGCCGTGCATGAGCACCCTGTCTCTACCATTAGATACTCACCTCTCTGTCCTCTACCCCTCTGTTGCCCAGAGAAGGTGTGAAGATGGAAGCTGCTGCACAGTGTGCACCAGCCCTCTCACTGAGAGGAAGTCAGGGCACCAAGACCAGTCTGCTAGGGAAGTGGGGGAGGATTCATACCTAGGAGGCCCTTCCTGACTGCTGCTTAGCCTACATGGCTTCTGCCTTGTGCATGGGTGAGGACGATCTTGAAGCCACGAGAGTCCTCAAGGGCAAAGGCAGGGCACCCTGCAGCAGAGGGCCAGGCATCAGTCTTTCCTGGGCAGCTGCTGGGAGCCAGACCCTGGGCAAGGTTCTTCAGGGACACTCCCTTTGAGGACTTACTTCCCTTTTCTTTTAGTACTGAGGAACCGGAGGCTCAAAGAGATGCACTAACTTCCGCTGGTCATTTAGCTAGAAAGGAACCAAGCATGTCCTGCCTCCCAGCATCTGAGAACCAGAAAGGGGCTTGGAAGACAAGCCGTACCAGGTCCTAGCAATGGACTACATATTAGTGCTGCTTTTCAAGGGATCCAGGGAGCTTGAGAGAGAAAGTATGAGAGTGTGTGTGTGCTCGGAATAGTTGTGGTAGGATAAAGAGATGGTACCTGAGGCCAGAAAAAAGGGTCTCACCTGTCTTTCTCCAGTCTATGCCTTAGAGAGACTGGCCTCTAGACAGAGTCCCTGAGTTGTGGACAAACCACAGATGGGCCCAGCCTAGGGCTTGGAAAGGCAGCCTAAGCCACTCCAAGGCTCAGACCTTTCTTCAGGGCTACTCACCCATCCCTCTCCCTCTGCTCAGAGGAATCTGTAAGGCTAGGCAGCCAGGCTTTTCTTTCTCTAATGCTGGTGGTTTCCTCATCAGATCTCCGAGGCGCCAGATATCACTGGCCACATGCCCCTGGCCCATGCAGGGCCTACAGAGCAGTCCCAAGGCAGCTCAGGACAATTTGGTTCTCCACGGAGAGCAGCTGTCCTGAGAGGGGTCCAAGAGAAACTGCACTTTCCAGAGCAGCCTGGTTCCTAATTGCACTAGGGCAGAGCTCCACTGAAAGTCATGATGGGGAGGCAGAGAAGGGAGCACAGGTCAGGATCAGCCTGTGTTGGCTGGTTGAAGGGACTCTGGGGTGGCAGGCTGCTCTTCTCTGGCTTGTAGCAGGGTGACACTTCACACCTATGGGGTAGGGTAGTGTCAGAACAGGGCTCTGAAGGCTTTGGATGGGAGAGAAGAAACACCCTTCCCTGGGGCCACCTTTGCTTAGCAGAGTTAGAGCTGCCCCCCATTCTCACCTGACCACACTTTGTAGGACCTTCCTCTCATCCTGGTCCAGACATACCGCAAAGGGGCAGCTGCTGGAGCCGATGATCTGCACCTTGTCCACTTTGATGTGGGATGTACTGATCTGGAAGGGAGGCTCTAGTCAGGCCCAGGAGCCCTGGCCACACTTTGGCCACTTCCTTCCCCTAGAAGTGCCCTAGGAGCTGACTGGGGAGGGGGTGGGGCAGGACTGGCTGGCAGAAAGGGCTGGCTTCCCTGTCATCATCAATACGCAGTCTCTGCCTCTGAGTGGGGAGGAATCAATGCACCGCCCCCTCCAATCCAGAGACCCCGAAGTTCTCTGACTTGCGCCCATCCTGGCTCAGACTTGGTGATCCTGAATGACCATCATACAACCACGCAACCTTTTCATATATATGCATCCTCCGCAATCCACACCTGTGAATACCCCGCCCCCTCCGCCCCCGCAACCACACCCCACAAGCGCCTTTCCTTTCCCAGAGATCTCTTCTCTGCCTCTCACACTCACAATACTTGGTCACTTTCACATGCAAGTCCCACCCCACTCCTGCTGGGGCTGTGCGTGGGCGGTGAGGGAAGCCCTTACCTGGTTAAAGCCCTTTTTGGATTTGGGGTTCTGCCTTTTCAACACTTCGGTCAGGGTCAGTGTCAGCGCCTCCATGCTGGAGTCTGAGGGTCAAGGGGGGCTCAGGCCAGGCTCAGAACTTCCCAGCCAGCTCCCCTCCCCCGTCCCCAGTCATCCTCTCCAACCCGCTCACCTAGCTCCTCCGACTTCCTGCAGGCCTTGTTGAGGTTAACAGAGGTGCAGACCTTCTCTAGGTTGCTCCAGCGGCTGCGACCGCTGATGGCCCCCTGGAAGGCAGCACAGCCAGACCCTTCAGCCCACATTCCCAGAGCCTGATGCCTTGGGAGGATGTGGATATTAAAGGGTTACCTCTCAGTACCAAGACTCTGGGCCTAGCACAGGCTTCACTTACCTTGCTGTAGATAATCTGTAGTGTTAGAGGAACGGCTTCCCGGTCATCATCAATGCCCAGACGCTTGCTGCCCGGACCTGTGCCACACACATACAGTTTACTCTTTCTCCCTTCCAGTGTCCCTACTTCCTTGGGTAACCCCTTCCTCTGGCCTAGACTCTTTAGGGCCCCAACTCCCCAGGGACAGGATTTCTTCTGAACCCTTTCTGTAGTCCTTCCCCTGCCCCCTCCCCTTCACAGGACCTCATCTCTTACCACTCCCTCTTTTGTCTGACCCCCTCCTAACCATCTCCATAAGGGCCCCCGCAGTGCCCACCTGAAGCCTTGATAGCACGGGTGGCCGCAGAGTGACCCAGCTCCAGAGACTGAATGAAGATCTCTGTAGTTTTCTGTCCAGTGACGAATGTCAGCTGGAAGGGCAGGAGCGGAGCACATATATCAACATGGACCACTTGGACCAGCACAGGGGCTTCTGGGGTTGAGGGTGGAGTGCTGCAGGCCCAGCTGGCCACAGGCTGGGACCTGAGCCACGATGACCATGGCTACCAGGAAGTCTGGGAGAAACGGGAGGGCGTCTCACCTCTGTCTGATAGACTTGCAGTAACACTGGGCGGGCTGCAAATCGGCAGTAGTAGAGCAACATGTCGGCCAGGATGGGCAGCTGAGTGGCAGAGCCCTCCAGGGGCTGAGATTCTGTCTTCAGGGATTGCTGTGGTAGAAGGGACGTCGCCAAGTGAAGGAAGCCGCCAGAGGACGGGAGGCAAGGACGCACACAGAGGCAGAGAGAACAATTTGGAGTCAGAGAGAGAGAGAGAGAGAGAGAGAGAGAGAGAGAGAGAGAGAGGGGAATGAGAGGGAATCTGGAGGAAGTATTGGGCAGGGAGCCCAGGGTAGCCCAGCTCCACCTTACCGGGCACACAGACCTCCCGGGAAATAGCCAATGGATAGAAAGGGAGCTGACACCTAAATTCCTTTGTGCCTCTCTGAGGATCTGCCCCATTTGCCACAGTGGTCCCAGCTCTTGTGCCTAGCACCCTGGGTTCAGTCTCCATTCTGCTTCTTACATACCCTTCCTCTCACTTCTCAAGCCAGCCCTGATCCTCCCTCCATGGATTTCTCCAAAGCCGGAATCTTCAAAGTGAGTTGATTGACAGCAGCCGGTGGGCTCCGGCCCCTACCACAGAGTCTACTCACCTGACAAAGGACTTCAGGCGGGAGGTACATGAGGCCCAAGACATTGCGTTCATACCAGGGGTCAAGCACACCGAGGTAGTGAGAGATGTCATTAGTACTGTCCTCCCACGGGGCCATGCCAAGCTCCTGGGGAAAGGGACAAGAGTTATCCCCAGCCACATAGAAGGCCAGGCCATCATAGTTACGGAGCACAGGATTCTATCTGTAACCCCAAGCTGAGCGTCTCTCTGTCTCTAGAGAATTATGACATTCCACCTTTGTCATTCAACAGAACGTCATATCCATGTGCAGGACAGAGACCTGGAAGCAAGGGCCAGGCACAGGGCGTGCTCACAGTCACCGGGGATCATTCTGGATGATTTTTCAATCAGTACCTGGAACCTGCGCTTGTCTATTATTCCACTTCCCATCCCATTTGGCCCAAGGTTGGGGACATACTGCAGGGCTGGGGTGCCTCAAGGAGTCTGCAGGGAGTGGAGATGTCTGGCTCAGAGAGGATGGGCAGGTACCAGAGCTGGTTCCGTGGCTTCGCTTCACAGGTACATAGAAGAACTGAAGCTTGAAGAACCGTGTGAGGAGCGGGTGACTGTTCTCCAGCCTCCTAGAGAGGGGACAGATAGTGGGAAGTGAACCCATGGTGACTCCAGGACTCTGGGTAGGCTCCATATTCTATCAGCACCACAGTCATGCTGCTTAAAGAACGACGGCGCCCTGTTCCGGTCCTTACCTGAGCTTGCTGTATGCCCGAGCCACCTTCCCTGAAATTCGATCAGAGCCAAAGACTACAACCCGTAGTGTGGAAGCCTTGGGGTCCTCATCCCCACTGAGGAAGGGGCGGCGGCGCTGGTGGCGTGAGGGTGGGGCCAGAAGCCAGCTGGGTAGTTGGGTGCTGAGCTTGGGCTGGGGTAGAGAGCGGGAGCGCTGAGCCCTGGAGGGGAACTGGGTTGGACAGTCCAAGGGGTTGCAGAGGCTTCCTGCCCGCCGCAGGGGCAGGGTTGCATCTGAGCTGCCCTCCAGGCTCCGAGAGTCCCTCCGCAGGACCAGCTGGCTGGTGCTCTTCAGGAGTTTATAGATCCTGTTGAACTTACGGCCAGGCCTGCGGGGACCCTGGCGATGCTGGTTACCAGTCTTCTTGGGGCACTCTGAGGAACTTTCCTCAGTGTCCTCCACATAGCCACTGTCCACGCCATCCGAGAGGCCTGAGACAAAGGTGGTCAGGACCTGGCGGGACAGCACTGGCCCTGAGGCCTGAGAGGAGGTGAGCAACAGAGTGGAGTCATGAGACACCAGAGAGCTGGTGGACAGTAGCGAGTCCCTTTCAGCACAATCCCTGTCCATCTCCAAGTCCTCCTCTTCCTCCTCTTCCTCATCTCCCAGGACCCCTGGCTGCAGCAGTTCCTGTTCCTTGAGAAGGACTTCCTGTAGGATGTCTACAGGGAGACAAAGACAGTGTTTGGGTTGGTGTCTTTGAACCCTTGAGGAGGGTGATGAGCTCTGAAAGAGCCCGAGATGTTTGGTGCAGGGGTATCGTGCCCCCCCCCCACCCTCTAGGCTTACGGTCTGTGCTGAGAGAGGGCCCAGAGGACTGGGAAACATTCACAGGTGCAGGATCAGACAGACAGGTGGCAGTCTGGGACCAGAGCCCTTTCCCCGTTGTCCCTTACCAAAGCTGTCCTGGTTCCAGCTGTAGGTGTAGCATCTGGCCACAGGGATGGGGATCGTGTGGAGTTTTCCAGGGTTTGCAGTGTCTGTAAGAGCAGGGAAGACAGGAAGAGGGACTGGGAAGGGGCCTTGTAGAACGGCCAGCCCAGGCCCCTGGCCTTACAGAAGAGGCCAGAGTGGGAACAGTACAGTTAGGAAGCCACAGAGCCGAATAGGCTGAGACAGAATGAAAGCTGAGGTACCTGTCAGCTACAGGGCCCTTCTTTAAAGAACTATGGAAATGGCAGACCTTTCCTAACTATGTGAGCACGGACAAGTCACAAGCTCTGAACCTCATTTTACTGTCAGCCCAGGGGTGGAGAAAAAACAGAAACATTTAAAAGGTATGCTTGCATGTTTTTGTTTGTTTTTTGTTTTTGTTTTTGTGTCCCCCCACAAGACAGGGTTTCTCTGTGTAGCCCTGGCTGTCCTGGAACTCGCTCTGTAGACCAGGCTGGCCCCAAATTTGGAGATCCACTCACCTCTGCTTCCCAAGTGCTGGGATTAAAGATCTACCCCACCGTCTGGCTTGCACTTTTGTTTTGAGACTAGGTCTCACTATATGACTGGCCTCAAACCTATAAACTTCTTGCCTTGCTGTCCTGTGTACTGAGGTTACAGGTGTGTGCCCCATCCAGGCTCCTTAAAAGGTTGATTGGGGAACATGGTACCTGAAGCTGCCAACCAATGCTCAGAATCTATGCCACCTGACTTCGATATGAGTGGCAGGGACACCTCTAAACTAACCTCCTTTAGAGTAAGATGTGACTGTGATGTAGGTGGGCCCAGAGACATGTGCAGAAATAAAGAGAGCATCCTGATGCCCTCAGTGAGTTCTGTTCCTCTTGTTAACACGATGGCACCCCAGCCTTGTATTTGCCCATAGGAGCTCTGCCTGGGGACCTGAGGAGCACCCAGATGCTGAGGAGCCTGGCCACGGGAAGGCTCCGTGGGGCAGAGCTGCCAGGCCTGCTGGTGGCATACTCTGGGTACCAGAGAAGATGATGGGGAAGTGGACAGAGTTGTCCCCCAGCCCTCACCTAAGATGCCAGGGAAGCCAGCTTTTTCTCCCACTGCCTTCAGCTTGGTCCGGAGCCACTGTCGGGCCTCTGCTGCATCCCTAATGCCTGATGCCAGCTCCTGGGCTTCCGTAGTTTCAGTGAAGATGTCTTCAAGCTCTTCTAGCATCTTGGACTAAAAGTACAGGAGGAGATAAGGTGTGTTCCTAGCCTATGGCCCGGCTACCTGACTCTCCCAGTTCTCAGAACCTGACCAAGGGCAGTAGTGGGCAAGCTGCTCCCAGCCTCCTCACCTTCCTGGGGCTTGGGTGCCTAAGGAGCCAAGCCACCCTTATTCTACTGCCTTTCTATGTTCATTTTCAAAGGTGGGGGGGGGCAGAGAGAACACTGCAGAGTGAGAGGGATTCACACCACTTATGTACACAGAGTGGTGAAGGGTTATTCATACAACACAGCTAACTGATCATAGAGCCAGGAAACACACACACACACACATACACACACACACACACACACACACACACACACACACACACACACAGCCTTTGTCCAAACTCATCCCCATTCCCACAGATGCTGGGCACCACCGCCCAGTCCAGTGCCCAGGACAGGGCTACATTCTGAGATTCTGGCCAGGACCCAGCAGTGTATCAGGGCCAGACCTGCAGCCGCACCTAGCAGTGCCACTCGGGGTTAGGGAGGTAGCATATCTTCTTTTGTTTGTTTTGCTTTGTTTTGTTTGTAGACAGGGTTTCTTTGTGTAGCCTTGGCTGTCCTAGAACTCACTCTGTAGATCAGGCTGACCTTGAACTCACAGAGTTCTGCCTGCCTCTGCCTCCTGAGTGCTGGGGTGAAGGCGTGCTCCATCACTGCCTGAGGGGGGGGGGTCCATGGTCCGTACCTGCAGTTTGTGGTGCAGGCTAGGAAGGTCACAGTGGGCCCCAAACGTGGCCTGGAAAGCATGCAGGAGCAGGGTGATGTAGGTGCCACGTGGTGACTGTCCAGGTGCACTCAGCTTGTCTGCCACAGCGAGCAATTCAGCCTGTACCTCAACCGGGTTCAGCAACAGCACAGTGCTGGGGACACAGAGAGCAGACTATGGTGCCTGTGGGGCTCAGCTCCATTCCAGGGCTCCTCACAGGACAGCAAAACTAGGCAGTGACAGCAGCTGCCTGGAAGGGGCTGGGGGCACTGCATGTCCGTTTCCATGGGGGAATGCTTATGATTATGCTGGAGTGTTTTGCAGGTGGAGCTTTCAAAGACTCTTTCAGAACTGAACTTGAGGGGCTGGAGAGAAAGCTTGGCAGTTAGTCGTGTATAGCGCTCCTGCAGAGAACCTGCATTCCCAGCACCCACATGGCAGTTCACGGCCATCATTAACCCGTGTCCAGCAGATTGGACATTTCTGACCTCTGCAGGCACCTGCACAAATGTACCTATAACCCCTTACACACACATACAGAACCACAAACAATTAAAAATAAATATTAAAAAAAAGTTTTAAAAAACTGAACTCAAAGAGCTCAGTTAATAGAGTAATTATCTAACATGCACAAAGCCCTGGGTTTGATCCCCACATAAACATGTGGTACATGCCTGTAACCCCAGCGCTTGTGAGGGAGGGTCAAGAGGATTAGAAATTCAAGGTCAACCTTGTCTGCATACCAGTTTCTAGGCTAGCTAGGAATACAAGAGATTCTTCCTCAAAAACAAACAACAATGAAACCCTGAACTTTACTTTTAAACCTATGTTTCACCTTAAGTTTTATTTAAGACAGGATTGTGCTATGTATTCCAGTCTGGTCCATGACTCTCTGCCTTGATTTCTACAGCCATTTATTCCTATGGGAAACTTGAATGAATACAAGTTATTCACAAAAGGAATGGTTTGAAGCCAGGTGATTTGAAGTTTGGTGACTGTGTTTTCAGGGGAGAAAGACCAGGCCTGCCACGGATCATCATCATGTTACCTTGGGTAACATCTGCCCAGAGGCCTCCATCCGAATCCTCCACTTCCGGGGGCATCTTACCAAACCAGCCCAGAGGCATCAGGCCTAGCTTGGATCTGAAGTATAAAGGCTGGGCCACCTCTCCCTCCCAGCAGGACATCTGGGGTCCTTGTGGTGTCAGTGTTCAAATGTCTTTGCTATGGAAACTTTCAAACACATTCAAATATTAAGAGAGTCATGGAACCTTTCTCATTTCTCTGTGGGTTTCAGAACCTCATAGTGTTAACCCACAAGGGCTGTAGCAGAAGTGGTCTGGACCTGCTCTCACTCTCAGGACCCCACAATGCATCAAACTCCAGGGCAAAGAGGCACCAGGGAGGCAGGGTTCCTGCCAGGCTATAGGTGTCTGTCTGCCCTGGAGGGAGGGAGCAGGTCAGAGCACAGAGACAGACAGGCCCTATTCATCAGAGAGACTGGTTTGGTTTTGATTTTTGTCTGTTTGTTTGTTTTTCTCTACTCAGAATTAAAACGAGGTAAGCTGAGGCCCTGCTGAACTTGGGGTCATTCCTTTCACAGATATGTGCTGAACCCCACTGTTTGCAGGACAAGGATAATGGAGCCCCTTCCCTGTCCAGCCTGGTTGTTCTCAGTTTGTTCTCAGACAATGAGAATGAGGACATTTTCCAACCCAAAGCTTTTCCCAGTAATGTCGGTGCTTCAGTTTCCCTATTGGAGAATATATATGGATACTTATGAACTGTTTATTTCTGGAAATTTCCGTTTCATATATTTGGAGCATGGTTGGCTCATGGTAGTGCTGAGGGGCTGGAGAGATGGCTCAGTGGTTAAGAGCCCTGGTTGTGCTTCCAGAGACCCAGGTTTGATTCCCAGTAGTCACACAATGGCTAATAACCATCTGCAATCCAGTCCTAGGGGATCTGACATCTTCCTCTGACCTCTGCAGGCACCAGACATGCACATGGGACACAGATATACATGCAGGCAAAGCACCCATACACATAAAATAAAAGCAAAAGTCTTAATTTAACAAGAGAATAATGCTCAGAGTTCCAGTACATAATGACAAGGTATGGGTGGTCTTCAGGTCTCTGAAAATACCTTATTTACTTATTGAACTATTTATTGCACACAGTCCTTCTTACCCAAGGTCTTAGTTGCCCGCAGTCAACCATGCTGCAAACATACAATGAAAATTCCAGAAATAAACAATTTATAAGTTTAAACCTCAGGCAGCCCAGTTCCATTCACTGGAGACCCGAATCTTCCTTCTGCCTGGCATATCCACCCTATACATGGCCTGCCCATTAGTCATTAAGTAGTCTCAATGACCAGAGAGCCACTTAAGGCACTGCAGGGGTTGTGTTCAAGTGATCCTTATGCTTCTTAATAATTTAACCGAAGCACATGCTGGCATTTGGGACATGCCAAAGAAACACCAAAATTCTTGTAAGTGAAAGTTCTTGGCATGTAGAGGGTTTGATATTATCCATGGCTACAGGTATCCATGTATGGATAGGACGAGATCTACTGCAGGTAAGGGACTAATTGCCCAAACTTCCTGTCCTTTCTGTTTCTTAGTATCTGCCACAGGCTTTTTGTTGCCTCATTTTAAACTTAGAAGTGTTTCAAGTGCCTAGAGCTGTGTGTGCTCAGCGGTGTGTGTGTGTGTGTGTGTGTGAGAGAGAGAGAGAGAGAGAGAGAGAGAGAGAGAGAGAGAGAGAGAGAAGAGAGAGAGAGAGAGAGAGAGAGAGAAAGAGAGAGAGAGAGAGAGAGAGAGGGACAGAGAGATGCAGAGAGAGGCAGGACAGGGGAGGGAGACAGGGACGGAGAAATAGAGGGAGGGAGGGAGAGAGAGGTCAATCCTGGATCCCTGGGTTTCTGACACATCATAATTGAGGTATCATGGCTCATTGGTTAAGAGCACTGGCTGCTCTTCCAGAGGTTGAGTTCAATTCCCAGCAACCACATGGTGACTCATAACTATCTGCAATGAGATCTAGTGCCCTCTTCTGGCCTGTAGTCATGCATGCAGGCATAATAAATCTCACAGACTTGCAATCTTCTGTCTTACATGTGGGAATTGCAGGTGTATGACACCATGCCTGGTGTAAAGTGTATTTAAAAAAAAAAATGCAGATCAAGAAGAATGTGGAGAGCACTGTTTTAGTGACAAGACACCATGGGAAAGGTCCTTGAGTATGGCCAAGTCACATCCTGACTCAGACACTAACTTGGCCTCCCTGGCCTCTAAAACTAGAGATGAAGAATGTGATGTGTGCTGGCTCACTTTTAGACTCTGAAGGAAGAGGACTGGAGAGATGGCTCAGCAGTTAAGAGCAGCTTGCTGCTCCTACGAGGACCCGGGTTCAATTCCCCCCACCCAGCCATGCACAACCATCCATAACTCTGGTCCCAGGAGATCGGATACCTTTTTCTGGCCAGTATGGGCACAGATATCCATGGAGACAAAACACTCATAAAAATAAATATTAAAAAAAATCAATCTGAAGGAAGACCCTAAGCCTGGATAAAGGAATTGAGGTACAAAATACCAGCATGGATATGGTGGTCCCTTATTGGTTGGTGACTGGAAATGTGTAGCAATGGGTGCGTTCTGGATGCAGGGGGATGGCAAAGGTGGACGGCCCTTGCCCTGGTTCTCCCTCCCCCAAGAACACTCACACGGTAGAACTTCGGTGGCTCCTGATGGGCAGGCCCTGCTCGGCTCTCACTAGCCGCTGGTAGGAGATCCCTGTGAACAACACAGAGGAGAGGGTAGGTGGCTTAGGTCCCAGACAGTCCTCTTGGGCTCCCTACAAGCCTGGTGCTGGACAGTCGGGCTAGGAGTAGCCCAGGAGACTCCAGAGGAGCTTTAGCAGACAGCTGTTGTTTGTCCTTATGCAAGTGCTGTGCTTCTGTGGACTAGTGACTCCAGATATAACATACCCTGGGGCCTCAGCCTCCCCATCAAAGCCATTCAAGTCTCTCCACTTTGTCTGGGCCCCAGCTCCAGCTAGGGAACAGACAGCAGGAAAGAAAAGGATGTAAGTTAGAGCCCTCGTTATTGTGGCTCCTCCCCATGACCTTGGGCAGATAGTCCCTGAACCCTGGTCCTCAGTCTCTCTGAAGAGACAGCAAAAGTGACACCTCTGTAACTGCTCATAGCTGAGTCCCAGGCCCACTTGAGATGCACCAGCTTAGCCTTTCTGGGATGCAGAGCTTCAAGGGAGGGAGAACTCAGGTCCAGGAGGCTGCCAAGTAGTCCCTAGACCCTTGCACAGCGTCTCTCATGCCAGGTGTCTTCCTGAAGCACGGAGGATGTGTGGGCCTCCATCCATCTGCCTCCACACTCAGCCTCAGATTAGTCTGTCAGCGCCCCCCCCTCTACCTGGCTTCCCATGCCACCTTGGGGACCTAGGTCTTGCCCAGTGTCTGCTTTTTCTGAAGCACAGTCCCCATCACAGCCTGCCTCCCTTCCTCCCCTGTGACTTCACCCTAAAAGGAAACAATATCCAGAAATAGTCAGAAGGAAGTCCCTTGTGGGGCCCAGGGCACTCCTGGCTGGGACTGAGCTGAGGAGTGGAAGGGAATTCCCCTTGGATGCAGGAAAGCCAAGAGAGCTATAAACAAACACAAAAGGCCATGGGTTTTGTTTAGTAAATGACAGGAAATTACCAATCCATGCTCCTCTAACTTGGGACCTAATTGCTTTAATTGTAGGCCTTTTGTGTGATATTTGGTTTCTGTAATTGTCACGGATGCCAAGGTTAGGTCTATTTCGCATCCTTCAAACTGGCTTCTATTCCATCCTTAGAGTCTAAGGATTTGGGCTGCCATCTAGTGGCCATTCCTATACATTGCAAAGATAAATTAAACTGCCACACCTTCGCCAGTGTGACACAGCATAGACCAATGTTGTTCTTGACGGCTGTACACACAGACAGGCAAACAAACAAGTCTTCTGTCGACTTTATTTCCGTGTGTGTGTGTGTGTGTCTGCATTTCTGCATGTTTATGGGGCCCAGTCATACATATGCATGTGCACACAATGTACAGTATATATGTGCACTTGTGGGGACCAGAGGTTGGCATAGGGTGTCTTTCTCAATTGCCCTCCACCTTATAAATAGAGGCAGGGTCTCTTACTTGAACCCAGCTTGCCTTAGAGATTCCCTGCCTTTGCCTCCCACGCACTGGGATTATAGGTAGTCTGTCAGTCCCTCCCAGAGGTCACATGGTGCTGGAAGGCAGAACTCAGGTATTCATGCTTGTATGCCAAGTGCTTCTCACACAGAACAGCCCCTTCAAAGCCTTTTAAGTGAGCATTCCACTCCCTAGGAGCTCCTCATCTTCACTCCCAGTTCTGACTCTGTTGACCTAGGATGGACAGTCAGTCACACTGCAAGCCATAAAGTCCCTGAGCTGGGGGACAGAATGTAACGCTCCTGTAGCTTGTACTTACTGCATATAACTGCAGCAAAACTCTGCCGACACCAAACACAACACAGAGTGGGTAAACACTGCGATGGAAAGACAAAGGAACTATAATGTACAATGTTAACTAGTCAATCAACATCGTTTGACATAAGTTGCTGCTTTTAAATATCATTTAAAAAAGATTATATCCTACTTTTCTATTGTGTCTGTGTGTGGGCAGGTGCATATGTGGGTGGGTAGGTGCTCTGGGAGGCCGGAAGAGGGTGACAGATCCCCTGGAATGTGAGTTAAAGTGGCTGTGAGGGCCCCAGTGTGAGTTCTGGGAACTGAGTGCACATCCTCTTGCTCTTTATTGCAGAGCCACCTCTCCAGCCTCCATCTTAGAAAACTGAGCAGCCTCCAGAGTCCAGAATGTTCTCCTGCTGGGTGGGGCTGGTAAATGGTGGAGCTTAATCTGCTTATTCTCTTGATGTGGGTTACTCATCCAGGTGATTGTCTCCGACTTGGATAAGCAATTGGGTGCTATAAAATTAAAACGTTGCCTCTTCCAGGTGAAGACCTATTTTTGGCCTTTTTTTTTTTTTTTTTTTTTTTTTTTGCATAGGCAAAATGCATATAAGGGAAACCATAAAGGTGCTCAAGTTTAATAGAAATGCTCGTAGCAGTTCACCTGGGCTGTTGGCCATAAATTCTTCTGTGGCGCTAGTTTCCATATACCGAGGGGATTTTGAATATCCAGAGGGAGTGCTGAAGCTAAGCAAATGTTTCAGAGGCATCTATTGAGACGACTTCCCTGGAATGGAAACTTGGTGAATGACTCTGGTATGGGACAGTCTCCCAGGAAATCAGACTTGGCTGTACTTCCTCTTAATCTGCCATGGCTTTCCTGTGATTCTCACCTTAGAACAGCATTTGCAGTGGTCAATGCAGCTCAGTGGGAAAGGGCACTTTCCACCAAGCCTGATGACCAAAATTCCACCCCCACGACACACATGCTGGAAGTAGAGATCTGACTCCCAGCTGTCCTGTGACCCTCGACGTGTGTGCACCAAGGCACACATGCCCACCACCACCCCTACACAAAATAAATAAATGTGGCTTAAAGCAGAATTCACAACTTCTCAAGAACTCTTACTTTTCAAATCCTAAACATGAATGTACCTAGAAGCACTAAGTCCCTGTTTACACGTGTCAGGACTGCCATCAACCCCTCCGTTCCCAGCAGCGGGCACTGTCCCTGAGAAAGTCATTCCTGCAACTGCCCAGCTGCCCCCAGGCCAAAGAGAACAACTACAGGCCTCTTGTCATTATCCTGGAGACTTCTCTGAGTGACCTGCACAGCCCTGGAGAACCTCCCTGAACAATTCCTTCTTAAATCACTTCCCACGTTGACTGCTTTAACTTGTGCAAACTCAAACCACCTGACAATAGTTAAGAACGCCACGAAGAAGGCACTGCCAGCCCTTTAGCAGGGTAAGGATGAGGTGGACCACGTGGGAAGAATTGTCCCAGAAAAGATAGTTATCCTAGTCATGTGATCCCTAGTCCCTCGGTCCTCACCTGGGGCCTTGAGCTCAGCATCGATGAAGGTGAGCAGCTCTTGGCAGATGCTGCAGTAGGGGACTGGCCAGGTCAGGAAGCAGTGGTAGGTGCTGGCTGCCTGCAGAAGGAGGTCTGAATCCGGTGGGAAGTGTGGGGTCTGGGATGGAAATGGGCCAGTAAGAAGTGAGTTGGGCAAAGAAGAGCTCATTTATATTCCAGAATAGCTTCTGCCCCCTTCTGGAATACCCCACAAAGGACACACATCTCCTGGGAGCATATGGCCCAGGGCAAGATCAGGGAAAACTGAACAACGCATGGACAAGATGGTGCCCAGGGTGTCTCTATAGCAATGGGCTTTGTTTTCATCCAGCACTTGAGGCAGCTTCTCTGAAGAGCTGTCAGCTCGGGGGGGGGGGGGGAAGGGGGGAAGGTCATTATAAACAGTGCCACTGCTTCTACTCATTTTGAGGAACCATCTTCAGCACATATGCTACTCGCATGCAAATATCCTCATGAGATGCAAAATAGTCATAGTCTTCTGGTGGACTGGTGGACTGAGTTCAATGTACAAGCAGTCATTTGGTTCGCCAGTCTGGTGAACCCCAAGGCTGATAACAGGGAAAGCTGGTCCCAATGCCATTTCTCATGACCATGCTATGACACAGTTCCTCATGGAAGCCTGGAGATGCCAGGCACCATGCAACCATCTATAGGGACTAGAGGCTTCCTCAGGTGGTGGCATGAAGAGACCTGAAGGTCGAAACCCATCTCAAGTGTCATCGCTCCCAAGTTTCTCTGTTTATCCTTAGAGCTGTGAGGCCTGTGGCCCAGATGAAGGCCACTCCTCCCTCTCTCCCCTCTCCCCCCTCTCCTCCCTCTCAGCTCCTAGCCCACCTGGACTTACACAAAGGACAGTGGAATAGAACAACAGAGCCAGTGGGACGAGGAGGTCGTAGGTGCCTTTCTCTTGGACCTGCGGAGATGACAGGGAGGTCAAGGTCTCTCTGCCACTGTGCAGCCTTCCTTCTCTCTCACAACTATTGCTTGAACCCTTCCACAAAGTCCTCCCTTGCTGCTCCACGGCAGTGGGTCCTTTACACAGGACTTTGGGAGGCTGAGCTCTCTGGGGGTGGGGGGGAGGGTGGTGGTGGTGGCTATTGAGTTGGTTTGTTTGTGATCAGCAAGCAAAGGCACCAAGTAAATGTGATACCAGGATGATGATTGGATGCTGCAATAAATAACGGACTTAAGTGATGGACTTTCTTCTAGGGATAACTGGCTAAGAGAGAAAAACATTTTTATAGTTCAGGCATGCATTAAAAAAAAAAGACAAGCAACTTAAAAGAGAATCCTTCGTTAAACAGCTAGAGTCTATTTTGGGGACTTGGTCCCATTCTGGAACCTCAGCCCGGATCAGCATTAAAAACTGCACACTCTTCCATCATGTAAGTCTGCATGCTGAACTGTCAGAGGAGGCCTGAGTTTCCCTTCCCAATCATTTCTCTTCCTTGTCACTATTGCTGTGGATCTTTCTGAGAAAGGAGTTCAGTGAAGCTCCCTGCCCCCTTCCTTCCTTCCAGTCCATACCTTGACTCACAAGCAACATCTATCCTAAGTAGCTTGAACTTGGGTCTCCACAATGCTTGCTACGTGTTTACACTGCACAGAAAACACCCTTCCTAGGAAGAGTCAGTGCACACGTGTGGCCGCTGGCCTACCAGGGTTGAGCAAGCCACCCCAGTGGTCCAGGAGCCTCAGAGCTGACCTACATCTTGACTTGACAAAGTCAACCCTAGCTGTGATCTTCAACATCTCAGTCACCCTCACCTCTCGGGTCTTCTGTAGGATCTGTTCCAGGAGGATGAGGAAGTGGCCTGGGTCCCTGCTGACCAGCTCCTGTAGGCTCCAGCAGTTCAGACACAGCCCAGCTAGACAGGAGACAAGTTAGGCTACTGGTTAGTTTTGCTCTCTCTGGCTAGCCACAGGCAGGGCTGTAAAGAAGGGGTCTTATTCTGGAATCCTGCTGTGGGAGGATATACCTGAATATTTCTTTCTAAAGAGAGGCTTGGAGAACTGCCATCATTAAAAGTCCCCAAGCTCCATCAGGACATAACAACGCCAGACCTGGTGGCACAGGCCTGTAGCCCCAGCATTAGGGTTGCTGAAGCAGTTGGATCATGAGTTCAGGGGCAGCATAGGCTACATAGTTCAAGGCTAGCCTGAACTATGTATGGATATATATATATATATATATATATATATATATATATATATATACACACACATACACACACTTATATACATACATGCATATATATTATATATATATATCCATATATCCATACTGATACACACACATATATATCCATATTGAGTAGCGATGACAACCAAAGAAAAAGCCTACAAGACTTAATGACCCATTTCTCTCTCCCATGCTTGCAAGGAGCTCCCTGAGCCATGGGGCCTGCTGATCTGACCTAGGATCCCTTAGAGGCCAAAAAACCTGCTGATTCTCCGCTCTGACACCTCAGGTGCTACAGTGGTTCCACCACGGCCCTCGCCCAGCTTTCTTATGGTGGGTGCCAATTCCTACCAGAGGCAAGGAAGTTGGACCACAGGTAGAAATTGCTAGAAGAATAAAGACAGGAGTCACGAGGAGCTCCACCCCAGACCCAAGAGTGAGGAGTCTCTGCAACAGTCATGGGGCTTCCCAAGACTGCTTGGCCTCAGAGCTCAGGAAGGGGAAGCTCGATTCACTACGCTGAAAAGCTCCAAGCACTTGTCACTGTGACTTCCCCAGACTTTCCTAATGTGTTGGTCTCTGTTTCCCTGAAGTCAGCAAGGGCAAACCCCTAAAAACTAAAGAGGTGACCACAGGGCTGGGGATGCATCAGTGGGGTGGGGTGAGTACAGCAAGGGTGGAAAGAGATGTGACCTTCTTGCTGCTGGGGGTCCCTGCCTGCAGGCGGACACGCCATGTGAGTGCCTTTCAAACCCCTGGAAGCCTCTGGAAGTGTATCCATGTACCTACAAATTTCGTTTCCTTTTTAAAACTTGAAAAAGGACCAGGGTTGTAGCTCAGTGGTAGAGCGCTTGTCTAGCATGTGTGAGACATTAGGTTCACCACCCAGTACTGCAGGAAAAAAGTGGGGGGGGGGGAGAACCAGCAACAGAAAAAAAAAAAAAAAACAGCCTTGCAGAAGTCAAGGCTTTTTTTTTAAAAAAAGATTTATTTATTCATGTATTTTATGTGTATGAGTGTTCTGTCTCCATGCACACCAGAAGAAGGAATCTGATGTGGTTGCTGGGAATTGAACTCAGGACCTCTGGAAAAGCAGTCAAGGGCTCCTAACCACTGAGCCACCTCTCCAGCCCCATTTCCATACTTCTTAATTTAATGATGCCTACCCCCCAACTCTGTGTAAACTCTGGCTCCATCAAAAGCAGGGAAGGAAGGAAGAAGGAAACACATTGTTTACTGATCACCTACTATGTGCTAGTGTGGTGCTAGACCTTTGCACACATTCTCCCTGCCCAGTTTCCCCTTGTCTAGTCATTAGTATGCCCATTATCCAGACAAGGAATTGGAGCCCCACAAGGACGAGTGGAATGTACATGGTTGTACAGCCAGTGAGAGTTAATCCAAATTTATCTAATTCCAAAGGATAGAGAAAGCTGTCCACAGAGGTGACGTCTGAGCTGAGACCAGCTTAAGAAGGGGTTGTTTTCCAGGGAAGAGATCCAGGCAGCAAGCACAAAGGTCCTGAGGCAGGAAGGAAGCAGGCATGTTCAAGAAGCAGCGGCTCTCAACCTCGGAGTAGGGAGCTAAATGGTGTAGTGTGCAAGGACCTTCAGCACTACAGGGCATCCTCACATCTAGGCTCCAGCCTCCAGGGACACACCACCTCAGCCTGCAGACACTCTACGCCTGGCTGAGATTCTCTCTTTATACTGTTTAAGGAAGAGCAGAGTGTGACTGTGGAAAGAGCTAGAAACAAGCAAACAGTGTCCGGGGAGAGCTGTCTGACGTCCCAGCTGCTCTTTTGGAGATAGTGGCTGTTTCTAACAGGTTCTGTTCTGTGTGTCTATGGATGCTAAGGAAACAAGACAGTGCGGGGAGGAGGAAGGGGAGGAGGAAGGGGAGGAGGAAGGGGAGGGAAACTCTATAAGAGAAAGCAAGAGAGCCTCTTATGGAGGACTTTAAACCAGGGCTGCACCTGCCTCCTGCCCAGATGAGGGCTGGGCACTTGCTCCCCTGGCACACAGGGATGGCAGCGGAATGTGATGGCTGTCATACCTGGTCTCGGAGGCTTTATCCAGTTCTGGAATGTCTCCCAGTTCCCAGACCTACCTGACCAGGGTGCAGAACGGCGTCCGAGGCTCAGTCCATGCAAGCATCGCTCCAGGGCATGCTGGATGCGGTCCTCTGTGCACGTTGTGGCTGCTGGCTGCATCCTGAGTCATTGCCTGAATGGGGGGGGGGGCAAACACCCGTCAGCTTGCTGGACTCCCTTCCAGGAGAACATCAGCCTAGGAGAGCTCTCACCCAGCAGGCAGTGGTAAAAGTGACAGGCGCTCACAATCCACTTGAATGCTGTGGGCACTGTGCAAGGAAGACTCCAGCTGCCTACAGGGAGGGGGCAGCTCCTAGCAGGTTCATCTGTGCAGCAGGAGAGATCACCCCGAGACAGAAAAGCATGGGTGTGGAGGAGAAGAGGGTTCCAGGATGGGAACCAATGGGGCCATGGGACATGCCTACTCACCAGGCAGTAGGGAGTGTTGCCAAGTGCCCAGAGATGTCCAGAGAATGGACAGACCTCAGACATCTGAGCAGGGGACCTCCGGGTGGGAATCAAAACCATGTGGGGGTTTTCTTGTGTGTTTCCAGACCTGTGCTCCCTCATCCTGCAGGGTACCCCCCCCTCCACCTGCTGAACATGCCAATACCAGTGTTGGGGCTAGAACAAGGGTGGAGTTCCATCCTCAGTCATTGCCCCACCCCCATGCCATTCAACCTCCCCTCAGAGGCCCAGGTCCTTCCCTCCTTAACCTCTTACTTTGCCCAGCCCCCTTCTGCATTTTCCAAAGTCACAGCAGGCTCAGCTAGAAGGCCACAAGGAGGGGACTTCAGAAAGGGGTTTAACACCAGGAGGGAAACTGAAAGCCTCTCAGTAGGGCCAATCCCATGCCTTGGTTTTGGGGAGGGCTCCTGGGGTCCTTCAGAAGCCATGGAAGGCAGCTTGGTACAGTAACTAAGTCAGATTGTGACATCCAACAGAGTGAGACCCAAACCGGACTCTGATTTCTGCATGAGATCTGGGGCAAATGCCTGAGCTTTCCCCCAAACCTCAGTTTGCTCATCTGTAAAGTGGAGACAATGATGGTACGGATGTCAAGAGGCGTGGGAAGGGTGCAGCACTCTGACTAAGCATCCATTGTGAGATCTGTATCATGCCACCATCACTGCCACACTTGCCTGCCCTCAGGGGTCTATTCCACTTCAGACACTGTCCCTAGCCTGTCAGGCCTGGCCATCTGGGAAACTGAGGGGTTGGAACAGTTTTGGGGATCTGAGGACCAACCAGGAAACCAGAAGAGGAAGCAGAGTCTCGGAACTGAGCCATGCAAATGACATGCAAAGAGGGATGAACTCCCCTACTCAGATCCAGATGGTCATTTAGATCCCATAGTCCCAACCTAGGCAAATCCTCCTGCCTCCCCAGCCTGGGGGAATACAGCATTCCCTGAAGCAAGCACTTTGTGAGCTGCCTGAGCCACTGACCCTAGAGAGTGACACATCATGAAACTGGGATGGCACAGTAGCACCCATGTATCCATGATGCATCCATGCCATCTTTCATTTCCTGATCACCTACTATGTGCCCCAGGGCAGAGCAAGCATTTGTTCCTGGGTGGAGGACATTGACCTCCATCAACTACACAAAGAGAGGGGCACCTGGAAGATGACAAATGTTATAAAGAGAGCATGGTACTTGGAGAGGGACAGCTGGCCAGCCCACACTGGGGATTTAAAGCCAGATAGGGACACCTAGGGTTAAGTAAGAGGAAGGATATTTCAGAAAGATGAAATAGTACTGGCAGTGTCTGGGTGTAGAGATGAGCTTGCCAAGGACCTAGACCCTGGAGCCCCCTAACAGGAGACACTGGAATACAGCCTGTCCCAGGTCCCATGGCCCTGGAGGCTGGGATGGTGAACTGAGCTCAGAAGAATTTTCACTTACTATTCATGACCAAGCCCCTGGATGTTAGCCTCGGGGATGCTGGGATGACTCAAAGTACCTGTAAGCCCTTTCCTAAAGGTTGTCATATTTGCCTTTGAAGCAGGTAGAAGTCACTGCCCCCAGACAGGTAGGGCAATTTCCTGTGCCCTGATCCTTTTTCATTTTGGGCTGTGCTGAATGACCATGGTGTTAACACCTGTGATGAATTCCTGCCCTCAGTAACAGTTCAAACACTCGCAGCTATCCAACTCACCGCTATCAACCTGATAGCACCTGCTGAAGGAGCTGCAGCCCAAGAACCTTCATAGGAACCTTCATAAGACGACCTTGGAGACCCATGCCATGACCCAACTTTTGTGCTCGTAGCTGCTTCACCATAACCCCAGGCCAAGTTCTTGAGAGAGACAGGAAGTCATTTTCCACAAGGGGTGTCTGGAAGCCGGTGTGGATAAGGAGCTTGCTCTAGGCTACCAGGAGCAGATAGAGCTAGAGGGAAGTCATATTGCTCTCAACACCTCAGGGGTCAGGTAAGACTTCCCTTTTTCATAGCTGTGGCCGAACCCTAACCCCAGGCACAAAGTGCTGAATGTCCTACATTCTACAGTTCCACGGAGAGGCAGCTCAGCAGTTAAGAGCACTTGCTGCTCCTGCAGAGGATCCAAGTTCAGTTCCCAGCACCCATACCAGCAGATCACAGCCACCTGCTCCAGGGGAATCCAACACCTCTGGTCTCTTCAGGCACTTGCACTCACATGCACATAATGCAAAATTAAATGAGTCTTTAAAGTATCATTAGCCAATTGGACAGGGGCTGCAAGGACCTTGATGCTGTTTGCATGGATCTGGAACAGCAGTGTGTGTACTCCACACCCTAAGACTGCAAAGAGGGAAAGGGTCGTTGACCATTCAGGAAGGCACACCCTCCCCAAAACCAAGGGCTTGAGGGATCTGCACAGAATGCCTGAGCCTCCTACCAGGTGAGATACCACCAAGTCACTCCCAATACATCAGGAGCATTGGCAGGTAGCAGGGCAGAGGTAGAAGCAACAGCTTGCAAGTCCACTGTGGGGGGAGGGGTCTGGATATCAGGAAGTCAGTTGGACTTAAGCAGGAGCCCATCTTTGGGGTGGGAAATCCCAGCAGTAAAGGCTGGAAGGGGCAGGAGAAAAGGATGGGCAATTAGCATCTCAGAATCTCAGAAGGATAGAATAACTTGCCTGCATTTACACAGCTAAGAGGTGGCAAAGCCAGAATGCAAAACCATGGATTCTAGGTTCTTAACCCTGAACACACTAATAAGGTGCAGTTGTGAGAGAGAGAGAGAGAGAGAGAGAGAGAGAGAGAGAGAGAGAGAGAGAGAGAGAGAGAGAATAAACCAATGCATGTCTCTACTCCAAAGGAAAACTTGGTTACCAGAATTTCGCTTAGTGAGGTTTACATTTCCAGATGCTGAAGATCTTGAACCTTGCCATGTCTGTCTACATCAGTTGCCCAGCCCAGCCTGCCTCTTCCAGGCTCTTATTAGCCAGAGAGAGGACACCCTAAAGCATAGTGGCATACTGGGTCCTGCCTCTCTAGCCCGGAGGTTGGATAAAACTATGTGAACTGGGTCTTAAGTGTCCCCTCTGGTCTTGCTAGGGGTGACCAACATTGAGTCCCCTTTGTTTTATACTGTCCTGATGCAAATGTGAGACACAAATGAGCTCTCTCAACTGACACTTTTTCTGCCATGTCCTTTTCCTGATAGGTATCAGAGCCCAGTATCCTGGTCTGCTGCTAGCAGTCCCCTGCCCCACAAGTCAACAGCACCCCTAGCCCCCCATGTCAACAGCACCCCTAGCCCCCCATGTCAACAGCACCGCAGCCCCCCATGTCAACAGCACAGCAGCCCCCCATGTCAACAGCACAGCAGCCCCCCATGTCAACAGCACCCCTAGTACCGCTCCAGTGCCTGCTGACCCGGGCGTGGCTTCTTGACCCTTCTTCCTGTGACCTCAGTGATCCCTGGTTCTAAGGAGACAGCCAAGGTCTTTTCTTTAGAAGAGCCAGATGTCCCAGGAGTCCAGGGCAGGGTTTCTGGTATGCTGAGCTCCCTGACACATTGTTGGTCCAAGCTCTTATGAGACTGGACTCAGGGCTCAGCGGTTACCAGAACTGACCGGGTGTCAATTCCCAACACTCACCTGTATCTCCAGTTCCATGGACTCCAACAAACTCTTCTGGTCTCGCTGTACACCAGAAATGCACGTGGTATACAAACAGACAGACAGACATGCAGACAAAACACCCATACATATAATAAATAAATAAATAAATAAATAAATGTTTTAAAAGTTAGGTAGGACCTACTGCATGCTGGGCTTGAGGAGCCTGAAGAAGACGATAAAAGTCCAGTGGAGAAGTTCCTCAGTGAACTACAGAGATGGAGCAGGAGCAGATTCACTCAGAGCCTAGCGGGTCAGCTCAGCCCTTGTGCTCAACGCCTGGCCATGCACGCTCAGTTTGGCCTGATGACTCAGTGACATCAGCCATTCTTTATGACTTGTAGGCAGAGCCCCATTGGCTCTGGGGAAGGGGTGACAGAAGACAGTAGGATGACACCTTTTTCAAGAGCCTGGAAAGCAAGACCTGGCTTGTTCATATCCGATGCCCAAACGCGGGATCCCCTCGTTAAGAGGAGTCCCCATTGAAAAATTCCAGTTGCTGCCCTAATGGGCAGTGTTGAAACATGAAACAGTGGCCACTTTCACGTCCAAGTTCCTCTTTTGAGCCAGTGCAGAGGGCTGGTGACCTTACAGAGGCCCCTGAAGAGAGTGGGGAGGCTTACCCTGAGAGACAGTGGAAGCCTGAAGCCAGGGTCTGAGCCCAGGGCAGTTTTGGCAGCCTTTGCTCGGAAGGTCAGTTACAGCCTCCCCCAGCAGGGAGTCATCTGAGCTCTTTCCTCTAAGTTATTTTGGAATCACTTTTCTAAGTTCTCCTAAGTTACTGGAACATGTGAACATGTTTTCAAATGTCTATTTTATGAGTTATGGCTTTCTGACACCATTTTTGTCAAAATTTCAAAAAGTATTGGCAAGGACAGGGATTCCCACATCATTTTACGGTGGTTTCAGAACCTGCAGTCCCTCTGTGTTGTGTCGCTCTGTTGTCTACGCATAGATTCAGATCTGTGTCAGACACTTTATGGCAGGTTACAGTTGCTGAAATAATCATGTTTGACATTTACATTAGGCATGGTAACCATGGTAACAGCATTTGTGGACAGCGGCTGGAGGTCGGACTTGTCTAATTGCTCACTATTGCATGTCTTTGTACCCCGAAGTTCTTTGTTTCTGTTCACTTCTTGCTCAGCTTGGTGTTCTGAATAATGACAGGCTGAGTGTGTGGCTAAGGTGTGAGATCTTATAAGTCATATGTCATTCAAGAACTACAGCCTAGCCAGTGATAGAGCTGGAGGAATTCGTCATCCACCCCACCCCTTCCCCACGCCTATAGAAACCGCAGTTAGCAACGACAACAAAAATGGCCGTGACAATGAAAAGAATTAGATAATGTGATTGGATAAAAATTAACATAGAGATTAATGTTATCTCACTGTAGAATGAAGATATGCTCTAGGGAAAGGGCCCACTTATAATAGCATCAAGAGAAACAAACTTTCAAGATAAGCGATTTTTAGGAATAAAACTTTTGAGAGGCAGAAAAGAAGACAAGACTAAGTGGAAACATACGCATCCTCTCATTAGGTGGGAAGACCCCGAATCATGAATAGCAACACAAAAAGGACCAAAAGCCTAAACATAAACAATTAAAGCTTCAAAATTTTTGGACACAACAGAAAATGCTTCATCACACTGGATTTGTAGATGGCTCCCCGGAAATAACACCTCTGTTAGTTACACCCGTTGCAATGATAAAACACTGTGACCAACACGGAAGAAAGAGTTTATTTGGGCACACGATTCCAGAGGGTTAGAGCCTGTAAATGTGGGAACAGCATGGCAGCGAGTGGCAGGCATGACAGCTGGGACAGGAAGCTGAGAGTTCATATTCTCAACCACAAGCATCAAAGAGACAGAACAAACTAGAAGGAGGCAAGGCCTCTTTATCTCAGAGATCACCCCCGGTGGTAAGTCCCCCCTCAAGGCTGCACAAACTAAGCCTCCCCAAACAACTCCACTAACTGGGGACCAAGGGTGCAGATGCCTGAGACTACGGGGCCACGGCTTGTTCAAACCCTGCAACTACACACGGAGAAATACCAGGCCACAAAAGAAAAACATGGACCTCAGAGCCAAAACTAAATTAGATCTAAGAACCAACACTTTGCATGAATGGCTGTAGTCAGGGGTAAAATGCCCACAGAACAGAAGGCCGGCTTGTCATTTGAGTGATAAAGGACTAATGTCTAGACTAGGCAAAGAACTCCTAAGACTCATCCCCATCACCATCCTTCATTTCCAACAGACAAAGGACTTGAATAAATGTTTCTCCAGATAAATATGCAGGTGGCCAATGGACAGCCGAAAGGAGCTTTTCAGTGCCAATGAGATGGCTCAATAGGTAAAAATGATTGACACACATGTGTGTGACCTCACTTCAATCCCTAGAAACCTACATAAAAGTAAAAGGGGAAAACAGACTTCACAAAAATGTCCTCTGACCTCCACACACGGGTCATGGCAGGTGTACCCTACACACAGCCACAATAACACTGATAGTAATAGAGGCTTTTCTTTATTAGTTAACATGGACATGCAAATCAAAACTAGGCTACTCCTAGTGGTATGGCTATTGTTAAAGAAAAACAACAACAAAGTAAATGTTAGGGTGTAAAGAAGTCTGGACATATGAGACACTGCTGTGGGAATGTGAAACAGTGTAGCAGCCACGTAAGAACAACATGATTCCTCAAAAGATGACCAGGAGAACTGACATACAATCCTGCAGCTTTACTTCTGGGTACATGCTCAGGATAACTGAGAGCAAGTTCATGGATGGCGTGTTCGTAGAGGCATTAGTTACAGTGGCCGGAGACTGGAAGCAGCCCAAGAATCCATAGGCAAATGAATGGACAGACAAGGTGTGTGTGTGTGTGTGTGTGTGTGTGCAAACGAGGTGTGTGAGTGTGTGTATGAGAGTGAAAATGAGGTGTGTGTGTAAGTGTGTATTTGTGAGTGTGTGAGAGTCCGTGTGAGTGTGTGTGTGAGTGCATGTATGTACGTATGAGTGCAAATGAGGTGTGTGTGAGAGTGCAAACAAGGTGTGTGTGAGTGTGTATGAGTGCAAATGAGGTATGTGTGTGAGTGTGTGTATGAGTGCAAACAAAGTGTGTGTGTGAGTGTGTGTATGAGTGCAAACGAGGTGTTTGTGTAAGTGTGTATGTGTGTGAGTGCTTGTGGGGAGAGGGTGCATGTGTGAGTGTGTATGTGTGTGTGAGTGCATGTATGTATGTGTGAGTGCAAATGAAATGTGTTTGAGTGTGTGTGAGAGAGTGCAAACAAGGTGTTTGTGTAAGTGTGTGAGTGTGTATGTGTGTGGTGCATGTGTGTGAGTGTGTATGTATTGTATGAGTGAGTGTGTGTGTGTGAGTGTGTGTGTGTGTTAGTATTCAGTCTCTCTCAAAGGAAGGAAATTTCTGACACACACTGCAAAGCAGATGAACTTTGAGCAAATTATGCTGGGTGAAGTCAGCTGGAACACATGAGTGTCCTTGTGTGAGCTGGAGCAGTCAGTCGTAGAAATAGAAAGTTGACGATGGCTGCCAAAGGCTGAGGTAGGAAGTGGTTTAATGAGTACAGACATAAGATGAAAAGACTTCTGGAGACCAGAGACGCTACTCAACGGCACTACTGAACAGGGGTGGGGGTGGCTCTGCTGGTAAAGTGCCTGTGACACCCACATAAATATAAACGAGACGTGACGGTGCACAACTGTAACCCAGAACTCAGGAAGTATAGGCAGGAGGACCACACGTTCAGAGTCACCCTCGGCTACACGCCATGCTTGAGGCTAGTCTGGGGGCTCTGGGGATGGATTCATGAGACCCTGTCTTAAAAAGGAAAAAAATAAAGTCCTTAAAGGCTATTGAATAGTTGACTCAAACCTGGTTAAGACGGTATGTTATGTGGTATGTGCATTTTACCACAAGTAAAGAAAAGTATTAATTAGTGTGATACTCCAGAAAAATATCAATTCATCATGAATTTCAGTCTAGAACAGTGGGTCTCAACTGTCCTAATGCTGCAACCCTTTAATACAGTTCCTCATGTTGTGATGACCCCCAACCACAAAATTATTTTTGTTGCTACTTCATAACTGCAGTTTTGCTACTGTTGTGAATTATAATGTAAATACCTGATACACAGACTATCAGATATCAATGCGACCCACAGGCTGAGAACCATTGTTCTAGAGAGTAGGAAGGAATAACGAGGAAGATGACGGAGCGGGAAGGAAGGGGGGTCAGGAGGGAGGCTGGCTGGCTGCTACTGAGTGGCTTTTTTCTCTCACACTGTTATGCAGTTCCACTTGCTGATTCCATTTGATGGCCACAATCTCCTGAAGACATAATCATGGTTGCCCACAATTCCTGCAGCTCAAGCAGGTTAAGCCATTTATTTACTCATGTGTCTGTCATCACAGTTCTTATGGCCTGAGCTGGAAGCATCTTCAAACTTGGTCTCTCTCCGTGCACCCACAGGAACTCATCCCCACCCTTTTATAGACATGCATACCTAGGCTGTGTGCATGAGTGGAGGGCTGAGACGGCGGCCTGCAAGCATCAGTTCTCCCCTTCTACCATGTGTGATCAGGCTTGGCCACAAGCTCCCTTACCCACAGAGCCATCTCTCTGGCCCAGCTTGTAGAACTTTTTATGAAACACACACTGATTTAAGAGTCCTGTTTATTCCAGTCTAGAACTCTGAGGAACCATATACTATGCTATTACAAACTCAGAATCTGATGCTATCTTTCCAGATATACAGAGGAGGGGAAATACACATTTCTATAAATAGAGGAAAGTGGTACACCTACCTATGCATACACTCCAAACTGAATGCCACATACCCCACTACACACACACACACACACACACACACACACACACACACACACACAAAGTTTAAAATGATTAAAAAAAAGTAAATCTTAAAAAAAAAAAGTCTCCATAGAAGCTGGGTAGAGATTGGAGCTTTGGCTGATTGAGGTTAGGTCCCCACGTGAGTCTGCACATATATGGGGTGTTTGATCACCCTTTGTGTTCCTTCTTAATGAAGACAGGTGGGGTACGTTTGCTGAAATGGAAAAGCTTAGCAGGAAGATGTTTGGGGGTGAAAGCTGCACAAGCTGCTGACCCCAGGGGAAAGCACACATCTACATTTGAGGTTCACAGGCTGGTGGTCAGTGAAGCGAGGGCTCCTGTGAAGACAGACATAAAGGACTCGGGAGCTCATGGTGACATGGAGGGGTTCTATGACCATAGGGCAAGAAGGCTCCACAGGATAGGTGGAGGGGACAGAGAGAGGTAACAGTCATCTGGTTCGGGAAGTTTTGCTTTGAGGGTTTGGGACATCTCATAAGCAAGCGGCAGAGTTTCA